GTGGCCTCCACCTAGTAGCTTCTAGCTTCTAGTAGCTTCTTGTTACTAGTAGCGATGGCCTCCAGCCTAATAGCGGGCTAGTAGCTTCTAGCTACTAGTAGGTTCTTGTTACTAGTAGCAATGGCCTCAAACCTAATAGCGGCGGCCTCCCCCTAGTAGCTTCTACTAGCAGCTTCTTGTTGCTAGTGGCAATGGCCTCCACCCTAATAGCGGTGGCCTCCCCCTAGTGGCTTCTAGCTACTAGTAGCTTCCTGTTACTACTAGCAATGGCCTCCAACCTAATAGCGGTGGCTGCCCCCTAGTAGCTTCTACCTACTAGCAGCTTCTTGTTGCTAGTGGCAAATAGCGGTGGCCTCCCCCTACTAGCTTCTAGCTTCTAGTAGCGATGGCCTCCAACCTAATAGCAGTGGCCTCCACCTAGTAGCTTCTAGCTACTAAAAGCTTCTTGTTACTACCAGCGATGGCCTCCGCCTAGTAGCTTCTAGCTCCTGGCGCTTTTTGCTACCAGTAGCAATGGCCTCCAACGTAATAGCGGCGGCCTCAACCTAGTAGCTTCTTGTTACTAGTGGCAAAGGCCTCCAACCTAATAGCACTGGCCTCCACCTAGTAGCTTCTAGCTTCTATTAGCTTCTTGTTACTACTGACGATGGCCTGCAACCTAATAGCGGTGGCCCCCACCTAGAAGCTTCTAGCTACTAGTGGTTCTTGCTACTAGTACGAGTGGCCTCCAACCTAATAGCGCTTGCCTCCACCTACGATGGCCTCCACCTAGTAGCTTCTAGCTTTTACTAGCTTCTTGTTACTAGTAGCGATGGCCTCCACATAGTGGCTTCCAGCTACTAGTGCTTCTTGCTACTAGTAGCAAAGGCCTCCAACCTAATAGCAGTGGCCTCCACCTAGAAGCTTCTAGCTTCTAGTAGCTTCTTGTTACTAGTAGCGATGGCCTCCAACCTAATAGCGATGGCCTCCACCTCGTAGCTTCTAGCTACTAGTAGCTTCTTGTTGCTAGGAGCAATGGCCTCCAACCTAATAGCGATGGCCTCCACCTAGTAGTTTCTAGCTTCTAGTAGCTTCTTGTTACTAGTAGCGATGGACTCCACCTAGTAGCTAATAGCGATTGCCTCCACCTAGTAGCTTTGTGGCAATGGCCTCCAACCTAATAGCGATGGCCTCCACCTAGTAGCTTCTAGCTACTAGTGCCTCTTGCTACTAGTAGCAATGGCCTCCAACCTCATGGTGATGGCCGCCACCTAGTAGCTTCTTGCTACTAGTAGCTTCTTCTTACTAGTAGTAATGGTCTCCAACCTAATAGCGATGGCCTCTACCTAGCAGCTTCTAGCTACAAGTAGCTTCTTGTTACTACAGTAGATGGACAAAATATTCAAACCCCTGTATCAATAACTTTGGTCAACCCCTGACCCCCAAAGGTCAATGTTGAACATGACTTGATTGAATTGTGTGTTTCCAGGGTTTGATTTGTTTCGTCCATTCGCCCAAACACTCCGACAAGATCTCTAACATTGAGCTTTGGGGTAGAAGGGGTCCACGTGGTTGGAAGGGTTTGAATATTTCGTCCATCTACGGTAGTAGTGACGGCCTCCAGACTTGTAGCGATGGCCTCCACCTAGTAGCTTCTAGCTACTAGTAGCTTCTTATTACCTGTAGTGATGGCCTCCAACCTAGTAGCGATGGCCTCCACCTAGTAGCTTCTAGCTACTAGTAGCTTCTGGTTGCTAGTAGCGATGGCCTCCAACCTAATAGCGATGGCCTCCACCTAGTAGCTTCTAGCTACTAGCAGCTTCTTTTTCTAGTAGCGATGGCCTCCACCTAGTAGCTTCTAGCTACTAGTGCTTCTTGCTACTAGTAGCAATGGCCTCCAACCGAATAGCGATGGCCTCTACCTAGCAGCTTCCAGCCAAAAGTCGCTTCTTAAATCTAGTAGCGATGGCCTCCAACCCAATAGCGATGGCCTCCACCTAGTAGCTTCTAGCTACTAGTAGCTGCTTGTTACTAGTAGTGATGGCCTCCAACCTAATAGCGATGGCCTCCACCTAGTAGCTTCTAGTAGCTACTAGTAGGTTCTTGTGACTATTAGCAATGGCCTCCGACCTAATAGCGGGGGCCTCCACCTAGTAGCTTCTAGCTTCTAGTACCTTCTTGCTGCTAGTAGCGATCGCCTCCAACTAATAGCGGTGGCCTCCACCTAGTAGCCTCTAGCTACTAAAAGCTTTTGTTACTAGCAGCGATAACCTCCACCTAATAGCTTCTAGCTACTAGTAGCTTCTTGTTACTAGTAGCGATGGCCTCCACCCTAATAACGATGGCCTCCACCTAGTAGCTTCTAGCTACTAGTAGCTTCTTCTTACTAGTAGCAATGGCCTCCAACTTAATAGCGATGGCCTCCACCTAGTAGCTTCTAGATACTAGGAGCTTCTTGTTCCTAGTAGTAATGGCCTCCAACCTAATAGCGATGGCCTCCACCTAGTAGCTTCTAGCTACAGGTAGCTTCTTGTTACTGGTAGCGATGGCCTCCAACCTAATGGCGATGGCCTCCACCTAGTAGCTTCTAGTTACTAGTAGCTTCTTGTTACTAGTAGCAATGGCCTCCAACCTAGTAGCGGTGGCCTCCACCTAGTAGCTTCTAGCTTCTAGTAGCTTCTTGTTACTAGTAGCGATGGCCTCCAACCTAATAGCGGTGGCCAACACCTAGTAGCTTCTAGCTACTAGTAGCTTCTCGTTACAAGTAGCGATGGCCTCCACCTAGTAGCTTCTAGCTACTAGTGCTCCTTGCTACTAGTAGCAATGCTCTCCAACCTAATAGCGATGGCCTCCACCTAGTAGCTTCTAGCTACTAGTAGCCTCTTTTTCTAGTAGCGATGGCCTCCACCTAGTAGCTTCTTGCTACCAGTAGCAATGGCCTCCAACCTAATAGCGATGGCCTCTACCTAGCAGCTTCCAGCGACTAGTCGCTTCTTGTTACTAGTAGCGATGGCCTCCAACCTAATAGCGATGGCCTCCACCTATACTTGCAATGGCCTCCACCAAATAGCATCCGCTTGTTTACCACGGCAATATACAGTACCAAGACCATCCGAATGCTTCAAAACAACTTGTGTACATCAACTGGTGCCTCCCGCTTCATCAGGTCTTGCTTGGAATGCATCGCATCCTTCAGATATGGCGTGTAGCATCACAATCGGCCAAAGCATCACACATCACCTGTAACTGCAACAATCGTGAAGGAATGGTCCTGTAACTGCATCATCTTGTTCTTCTCTGCCTCCTGAAATACAGTGAAAGGTGCGATGATAAGCTGTCGCAGTTTGGGGATGCATAAGAAGAGAACTGAAACCTTCACTTGGCTCATCAGAGAAAATCTCGAGGAATCTTGCCGAACAAAAGCCTTTCCGAAAGCCACCGCAAGCTCTGAATTAAAAGGCAGCTAGAAGGATATGTGGACATGATATTCCAAGGAATGTCTTCTCCGAGAAGCCAGTCTCAGTTTCTCCATGTTTCTCCTGGTTATCGGCTGGCTGGCGGCTGATGTCTTTGGCCGTCTGCTTGGCCTGCATGGGTGAGTCTGAGCTGCACTAGGCGTACTCGCTGCACTCAGTGCACTGGGTCCAATCCTTCAATCCCATCACCTAGTAGCAAGGACACTATTAGTAGCTCCTGGCCTTACTACTAGGAGCAAGGACGCTACTCGGAACAAAGGGCACAATTGAAGAAGTGGTCCCTCAGATTTTAGCTCGATTGTTCCAAGCGACGGCCATGACTGCTCTTTTTTTCCCAGCTTTCCCCGCTCTTCTCTGAATCCAACATGTAGCCACACACTCTTGGCCGCCACATGCTACTTGCTCGCACTCGCAGCTTTCCTCGGACGGGCTAAGCGCTTTGGACCCTGCACGCCATAGGCAGGCGCCAGCTCCTGCGCCTCGGTGAACGCCTGAGCCTTGTCGGTGAAGTAGTTCCCAAAGATGACCCTGTCCACCCGATCGAAAGCACTTTTGAAACTCGAATGCCGAAAAGAAAACTGAGAAAACAGAGAAGTGAGTCAGGGCCAGTCAGGGTGTGCCGTTTCTTAACATGTTCCGTGCCTGCCATTCTTGGTGGTGACCTTGGCCCGCCAGCGCTGCCGTGCCCTGCACCAAGTCGCTTCGCCCTTCGCCAGCATCGTGCCGTTCTTTCGCAGCCGCCGCCGGAAGTCCTGCGCGGAGGCCAGCGCCGCCTGCTCTGCGGCCGACTCGTCTCGACCGTCTGTGAGGTACCTGAGAGCAGACGTCACGTGAGGTACCGAAGAAGCGACGACGTCAAGAAGCGAACCAAGCGTGGGGAACAGCTCCTAATAGTAGTAAGGCCAGGAGCCCCTAGTAGCGTCCTTGCTCCTAGTAGCGATGCCAGGAGCCCCTAGTAGCTTCTTACGTTCAGAAAGCTTCATTTCTGCATGATGCATATTATGCGGCAGAGCGAACTGGCATTGTCAGCATCATCAGCATGGCAATCTGCATCCGACTGTTGAGTTAGGAAACATTAACTGCAGGAGAACAGTGTGCACATGATCCATCTTTGCAGTCTGGCGGCTTGCTGACTGGAAAGGTGCGGCTTTTGTTTCCAGTGATTCGGCCCTCCTCATCAAAGGTGGGATAGTTGATCTGCCACGCAGATGAGCTTGGATCCCACAGGATGTTGGTCAGACCGCTCTTCTTTGTCGCTGACTCGAACCTTTTTGTCGTAGCCTTGCAGGATGCTGAAATCTCCAAAGAGCAATGCACAAATTCAAACAGCTTGTTTCAATTATCTTAAAACACATCTCTAGTAGGTTGGAGGCCATCGCTCTTAGGTTGGAGGCCATCGCTTCTCGGTTGGTAGCCATTTGTAGGTTTCCCAATCGCTTCTGTCTCACCACCTCTGTGTAAACCGAGGCACTCACACGCAGACCGCTCCGATAGCTGGAAGGGTTGTTGTTTCAAGCATTGTTATAGCAATAGGGGGTGGGTATTGTTGTTCCGATTTTTTGGGGAGGGGGTTCGTTTGTAAAGGCCAAATGGTCTACGGTGAGCAGTAGACCATTTCATACGGCTCACTGTAGACCCATTTGCCTTGAAACCGGCTCACTGTATAAATACCATTTTACCAGCTCACCGTATCCTTTTTTGCTTTACAATGCCACACCCCAATTGAAACAACGGGCCCCTCCCCCGCTATCGAGCGGGTATGATGATACGGTGACCTCACAAGAAATCCCAAAGCGCTACCCCTCCCACCTTCGCTTTCAAAGGCGGTAGCGCTTTGGTCTTTGGGCCACGCTTCGCAGCCTCCGTGACACGCTTCGAGGCGGAGCCCACGCCCCTCAGATGAGGAAAACCCTTCGGAAAAAAATCCTCGTTCTATCATGTTCTATCCGCTTTACACCTTGTTATCCTTCAAAGCTCAAAAACCACACCTCACCAGTTTATCCAAAGCAACAAGCACCAAAAAGCATCCAAAAGCTCTTGCAACGGCTCGGCCCAAGGCTCGCTCTGCCCTTAACAGTTGGCCCCTTCTTCGGCGGCATGGCTCCACAAGGTCGCGCGATTGGCGTGTGTTTCACAGGTCCAACTGAGCCGAAACGGTCACAAAAAAAAGGAAAAACAGATAATGATAGCGATGGCCTCCAACCTACCTCACAACGGGGTCACGTCGGAAAAGAAAAGATGCGGAGACGGCGTGATGCGAAGAATGTGGGACAAAACGAGATGTTTGCTGCCGGCCACCTTGGCCGCCTTCCGTCTTTAGTGCTTTGTGCATGCTACATGCTGGGCCAGTAGGGCAGCCACGCCTGTTGTAGTTGCGCCTCCATCTCGTCTTGTTGGACCTGACAAGATGAAGGTGACCATGGTGACCATCAGGTCTTGTGGCAAACCAATTCCACATCAGCGAAGTCAACACCGACACGTTCGGGCCTTGGCTCGCCCTGCAGCACGTGTGGCTCCTACTTTCCTCGCAGCTCTGTTGTGAAGAAACATGAGCCGGTCAAGGACACAGAAAACTCAGCTGGAACAGGGTCCTCTTAGAATCATGCTTCTAAAAAAACTAGCTTCTTGTTACTACTAGTAAGGCACTTGTTCCTAGTAGCGTGGTACTTGTTCCTAGTAGCTTATTGTTTCTAATAGCTTCTTGTTACTAGTGGCGTGGCACTTGTTACTACTACCATATTACAAACTATACATGTTCTAGCCATCAGGTCGAAATTTTTCCTGGCCCAGGCAAGCCTTAAGGCAGCATCCACGTCGGCGCTCAGATCTCTCTTCAACTGAGCAAGGACCGCCAGTGCCGCAACTCGGCAACAAACGCGTCGGGGGTCGCAGGAGGTCCCAGTGATTTGATCAGGGCTTCCTCGGGATTTGATCAGGGAAGCCGAACGAATGTACTCACGTAGACAGTGAAGGTCTGGAAGGGACGACAGTGTGGTGCCTTGGTCTTCAGATAGATCGGCAAAATGTTCGGCCAGGACGGCTCTTGTCGCGCTTCCTGCCGTCCAAGAATGGAACGAGATTTGGTGGATGAAATCATAATGACATCGAAATGGAAGAAGAAAAAAGAACAATAAACTATAGGATGATCCAGTCAAGGATGTCAAGGTAGGATTTAGTCTCAAAATTGTGTCTTGTTCCAAAGGCAGTCCTCCTCTGGAGCATCTGCGAAGGCGACCCGATGATGAAAGCGGCGCGGCCAAAAAGGCCCGCCTGATAAGCATAAGCCAAGGTCAAATACTGACAGGATGATTGGGTCGTCATTCCCGGATGATGTTCTTCCGAAGCTGACAACACCTCCTTTTCACACACGCTTTGGATCAACCTCACAACTCACAAGGCTCTTAGACCTGACAAAACCTGTCTGTGCTTTGGCAGTTCGCTCTATTCTTCCATTCTTGCTTTCTTGTGCCTAGCAGTCCGAAGTCCTCGTGCAAGACCTTGGCACCGGTCAGCTTTGAAGCTCGGCGTCAATCACTGTGAGTTGAGCCATGCAAGAATTAGGCCCCGACTCGGCAAGCCATGACGTCATTCTTTGGTCATGTGGCAGACATGCTCAAGAATCATGTGCTGAGGAACATTATCAGACATTGCTTCATGCCTTATGCACGGTCTTCAATGCTGCAGTTCCCAAACATCCCAGAAGCATGGCTCTGACTCGGACCCAACCATCGTTGGAACCTGACATAAAAACCACCCTTCTATGCTTCTGAGCCGTCAAAGCATACAGGAAGGAATGCATCCTCCATGCATTAGCAGTGATCTGCATCTTCCAAGGACCATCGCAAGCTTCAGTCCAAGAATACATTTACAGAAGGAAAGGAACAGAAAGACACCTCGTTTTGCAGCTGTTCTATCAAAGCTTCAGAGAGGTGGCCAACTGTTTAACCAACCTGCTCCGAAGCGGTCAACGACGCGGATGGATATAACTCACCCTGCTCGGCTCCAATCCTTCGGAAGGGCCGAAAAAAAAAAAAAAAAAAAGATGCACTTGTTCCTAGTAGAGGATGTCTCTCGAAAACTTCCCCCACCATTACAATTCTAATTAAATTCTTCTTGTTACTAGTAGTAAGGCACTTGCTTTTAGTAGCAAACATTGTTACTACTAGTAAGGCACTTGTTACTACATGTTACTACTAGTAAGGCACTTGTTACTAGTAGCGATGCACTTGTTCCTAGTAGCGATCCCGAGTGAATCCCTCTCGGGATCTTCACCCGCACCGACTAGACCGCCGAGCACCGAGCGGTTCGAGCGCTCAGTGGCGCTGGGTACATTTCCGCAGCACTTGCCGCAGTTGAGTCTTCTGAGACGAAGACAAAGACGACAAAGACATCTCCTGGGAGGTGCACCCGGAACTCGATGAAGGCATCTTTCAAAACCAAACACAAACATACTGCAACATGCTAGTGACATATGTCACATGTCTGCTATTTGTGTTCATGTTTAGTCCTTTTTTCATCTGTTTTTCTTGTCACCTTCGTACCGATTGAATCATTCATCTCTCTCCAACTTCCTCTCCTCGACGATGTCCTCGGGTTTGGTACCGTCTTGGCCAAACTCCGGGCCACCGGAGATGGATTGGGCAAAGTGCCGGAACTCCTGGCGGTCCTCTCGGTTCGAAATCGAAATTCTCGCAACAACGAAAGACTTAAGACCTTTTTGGCAAAAAAAGGCGTTAATTTGTCCTAAAAATCTAGGAGCCATCAATAGTGAGACAACAAAGTAGGCACCTCTACTTAATGATCAAGCAAAGGGGAGGGCAACTCGGGCTTGACTTTCGACTCACAAACGGGCAGCTCCGAGTCACCACGATCTTCAGAAAACCAATAGTAGCCAGCCTAGCAGGTGAAATGGAACCTTCGTTCTTCAGACCCCCTTCACACATGTTCCACCTAATCCAGGAAGCACCGAAGCTCGGATTTGAGCATTGAAGAACCGAAGCCAAAAAAAGCACGCTGAGACCACATAGAAGTATGCGAGAAAAACATCGAAAAACGTCCACCACATGTGACCTAAGCTGTGACTTCCCGGAACATCTCATTGCAACAAAATGTCGATAGAACGGGTTTGACAGATGCCTTGAGGATGTAGCCTCGCTTGCCAAGGGACACAATGATGTAGAATTCCTCCTCCTGTGTAGTATGTCGGTTGCTTGCGGCCAGTCATTGCACAACCAGAGCTAGTCCCACTCTTCTCACATCAAACCTAGCGAGCCTAGCGATTGTGAAAAGTTTGGAAATTGTAAAGAATTCTGCAATCCCAAGGAAGGACCAAATCAACTAGTTGTGGCAAAAGTAAGAGAGCAAACAAGGCAGGCTGGCACCACGTTCACTTTGGTTATCTATCTTCCGTGTCGTCTACTTGATCATGCTTGAGTTGCAGGGAAATTTTGCGAAATTACTTGCTCACAGGATTCCACAATAATCCACCCACCCGAAGACCAAGCCCTGTGCCCGCTCAATGTCGAGCGACGGGAAAAGGGCGCTGAAAAAAAAGAACGACTGCCCTTACACGTAGGGAGAGGACTCTCGTCCTGGATATTGCTGGCATGTGAAAGACTATATACTCTGTTTGTGGGCGCGGGTCACCACAACAACAAAGTCTCCCACTGACTACTCCCATGAATGGCGGAATGGAATGAACAAAGCTGCTAATGTTTGTTTCTTACGCTTTCCTTCCTTCTTTCGTTCTGTCTTCCTGTCTTTCTTTCCCCTTTTTCCTGCACACTCTTTCCATCTTTATCCGTTCAGAAGCAATGCCTCAGAAGCGTCAAAGCCACTGGTGGAGTAGTTGCAGTGGTCCTTGGACAGGTAGTTCACTGCCTGGCTGGATCTGGGTTTGGACACAATATTTGCCTCCTGCCAAAGTGTTTAGGGTGGGTTTGAAGGGTCTTTGGGAAGCCCTCCCAAAATCCAGCACTTCTCTTTTGCGGTTGCACTGCAGCCACCCAGCCAGGCAGGCATGGGTGGGCTGGCACCTGCTGCCCAAAAAACAAGGTGAGCGGGTGGGTGAGTTCGCTACTAGACATGGAGGCAGTGGACGCATGATAGCTCACGCTTCTTCAAGGAAGCGCTCGCACTAATGATTTGCTCGTCGAGTTTTAGGGAAACTTGACTCACTGACGGATTTAGCAAGTGCTGGCAGTGCTGGTAAACTTATCTTGCACCTCGCGTGCGATTTTGCCAGAAGCCACCAGCAAAGAATATGATGTCTTGTTCTGAAGAGTCAATCGCTTCATAGCCTGCCTGGCCTGAATCGGACTCTGGCTGAAGCTGGTCAACTGGCTCGGATGCTTGGCCTTAGACTGCTTTTCAAGAAGGCTCCGCAACAGTGAAGGCAATCCAAAGTCGATTGCCTAGCAAAAGAGCAAAAGCCGAACAACATGAGTACGACAGTGTGACCCGCTTAAGAAGCCCCACCTGAAATCTTAGTCCATCTGCAAAGTCTCATGCAAACCCTCAGGCCTCAAAACCGTTCGAAACCTTCTATGGTGACTTTAACAGATTTGAAGGCCGTGATCAACTGTCCTTGGTGACCGACCCGCCTCGATCTCTGCCACCGAGGCTTCAAAGTCGTCTGGCAGAGGCACCTTTCCGGTGTCGCCTTTGTTCCTTTGTTCCTTGTACACCTTCAGGCTTTAGACCTTTCTTTCTTCCTTCCCTTGTAGTTTAAGCGGGTCAGAAGCTGGGATGCTGCAGACTCCACCCGGTAGATGTTACACTCATCAGGATATCATGAATTGTATTAGGCAAGAAGGAGTGAAGGAGGAGTGGCTCTTCAATCCTTGAACTACATTGTCGGGGACATTGATCATCAGAGTTGACAATAGGTGCCAACTGATCCATGATCTGATATGCCAACGCATGAGAGGTGCAAGCCGACTGTCGGAAGCTCTATTATAGAATGGAAAGAGTGAAAGCATGTGAAAACAATGAAACAAACAACTGACAAACCTCACAAGCATATCTTCGGTTGTGCTCCGCTTTGGCAAAAAGACGTGGTAAGGCATTGTACACTACGTCGTACAGAGCATTAGTTCAACTACGACTTATGGCTGCTCCACGTCTTGGGAGTACTGTGGTAAGGCATTGGTTCAATGCTCTTCGGTTGTGCTCCACTACGTCTGAACAGTGTGGTGCCGCTTTCTTCAGAAGACGTGCCTTCTTTTTGGGGTCAATTGTTGCCTCAACTGCATCAGCCGCACCGCGGGAGCAAAAAAGGCCCATGTTAAAGTGGAAGCTGAGCGGATCGAACTTCACGCAATCGGAGTGTTGATTCCAAGCAACTGACTTAATAAATAGCGATAGCGATTGCCTCCAAACTAGAAGCGATGGCCTCTACCCTAGGAGCGATGGCCTCCTGCACATAGCAGCTTCCTTGGCTTTAATGGTCAATTGAGAATCAACTATATAGTTCCTATTGTTACCTTGCACCATGAAGACGTTGCAAAGTGAAGGTCTTTTGCAGCAATGCTTCAAAACGACTTGCGGGTCCATGAAGTGCCAGTGCAGTACACTCAGTAAGAATGCGGATGCCACCAGGGTGCAGCCTCTCTCTCTCTCTCCTCTCCCTCCAAGACATTTCTTGTGATACATCTGCAAGACGTTCAGCTTTTTGTTACACACTCACACACACAGCTAAGTCATCTGACTCAGTCTTTGGTCACTTTCTCAGCTGTCAGGAATCGGCACGGTCAGGAGCGATTCTTCCACTATGAAAACAAATGAGGCCATTCGCTTGAGAGAGAGTCTTCGGTGTGGGTACATCTGTCAAACAGGCAGCATTTCCCTGCCTAAAGCCTTGACAGATTCACCACCAAGTGTTGTGCGTCTTTGTCTTCTAAATGTGCGTGCAGTTCATCCAAGGACTCTCCCGATCAGCCCAATATGAGTGTGGCACCCCTACATAGTACTCACAGCCGTGGCATTGACCACGCGGAGGTTCCAAAAGCAACACAACCAACATCATTCTGGTGTTTTTCGGAAGGAATCATTTCAGGTACTGCCAGCTGTGTTTCACTCTGTAAGAACAGCTGCACCTGTTCTGTAGGCGTACTCTGCTCAGGCAATAGGCAAATCATGACAAATCTAGCAGCAACACACATCGATCATCCTTCCATGAGCAAGACTGTGTCCTCATGTTTGATAGATTGCCTGCCAATCGCCTTGTTCATGTCTAGACTCTGGACACATGTGTGAGGTAGCTTGCTTCCAGGGAACGGTTCGTCACCTGCTTTTGCTATTGAAAGGCCAACTGAGCCTAACAGCCGTTCGCACACAGCAAAAACCTCCACAAGAACGGCCGTCGGGGCACGCCCGGGCCTGTCGCAAAACGACGCAGCGGTAGGCCTCTCTTGGCAAAGTGCAAAGCCTACCGCAGCTGTGCTAAATCACTTTGGCCTTTTCCTGGCGCTCTGACGCGTGAGCAAAAACACCACCACTTTCATCTGAACATGTCGGTTGGCCAACCGACAAACTCAGCACGGGCCCTTGCGATTGCATCTTGGGTGTTTCCTTTGAGGGGTTTTGTTCGGCTGAATATAAAGAGATGAAGGAAAAAAGGTGTTTCCAGAAGAGGCCTGATTGAAGGGGCTCAGAAACGTGTCTATATTTATATGTTTGATATTTTTGACTGTTTTTTCTTTGTCTTTGGTGAAAACAAGCACTCCTTCAGCTGCTGGAGGGCAGCGTGAAGCTTCTCAGATGTGGCCTGACAACTTTGCCCAGAGGAGACGTATTCAGAGAAACGACGCGAAGCGAGATCGAAGGAAACCAAATATTGGTGGAATTCAATGACGAAACTTCACAAGTTGCCCATAATTAATGACTCCAAATAACCGATCAAAGAACCTGATTTAGGTCAACACGCACACATTTTTCTGCTACAAAGCTGCTTGGTCGCTGAGCATGGGTTTTCTAAGGTTGGCGACAAGCTGAGTTACACGGGAAACAGCTCGGCTATGTTCGTTCCTGAACCCAACCCATCCCACAAAAAAATGATAGGTTTGTTGTGGCCATTACTAGTAGCAATGCCCTTGTTACTTTACTAGTAGCTTCTAGCTAATCACAAGGGGTAAAGCCGCGAAGCATCGCGAAGCTAATCAAGTGGCTCGAAGACAAGCTGGTTTGGCCGTGCAAAAGGGAGGGGTGGCGGGAGTGAGAAAGTGGTCTCCCGAGCAAAAACCGCAATGAGGAGTGAATAAAATGGAAGGGGACTGCAGCGGTAGGCCTACGGAGGGGTTGTGGGATGCATCTGCACTCATCTGCGCGCAATTTTGCGAACCAGATCGTCATCGTTGCAAACTGCCTACGCTTACCTTGTACCTTGAGACACTGTGACAACCTCCTGACACTATTGGACACTGTGACAACCTCCTTCCTTTAGGCTGTGTTCGGCAGGGATTAATGGTGCCGGGGGTGAGTCCACTGTGGTCAGCAGCTTGGCTTCTTCAGCTGCAGCTGCCTTTTGCCGCGATGGGAGCGGGGCAACGGAATTCTGGGAACAACCTTTTATATATACCAGGGCAGAGTGAAATGTGGTGCACGAGATCCCAAAGCTACAGCTTGATTCTACTGTCTGTGTTGGATTTTCTCATGCTCACCCAGCCAAGGCCTTGTCAGCCAAATCGGAATTCTCCTGCGCCGCATGGATGATGTGCTGATTGATCTGTCGCAGCACATCCTGGGGCAAGCAAGTGAAGTGGACGATTCCAAGGCTCCTGAGTCTGAGTCTAAGCAAAATCACAGCTGCCCGGAACCCAGCTTGAGCCAACGGTGTCAGCTTTGGGTGGGGTGACTTTATTTCAAGAGCGAAGGCGCTTGATCTCCAACCGAACCACTCATTTCGAGAATCTAGAATGATCTGAATGAGGAGATCTGCTGCGCCAGGCCACACAAGCATATGAATGAATCCCACGGCACCCATGGCCCATGAGTGGGCATCCTGGATGTGGCTTTGCACCGATTCACTACTGATCTGGATGGTGAGTGCCACGGCCTGTCCGAAAACGGAAGAAACAAATCAAGAAAAACAAAAAACAAACAAAAGAAAAACACATAGTGAAAAAGCTCCGTTCGTAGCGTCCTTGCTAGTAGCGATGCCAGGAGCCCCTAGTAACTTCTTGTTCCTACCTGTCTGTGCAAGAACATACAACAAAGTCTGTGCAAGATGATTCACCTTTTACATGAGTTTATTGTACTCCGTCTATGAGGCAAATGACAAAAACTGCAAGAAGAGGACCACACGAACGTTTTTGGCATTCAAGATTCCTTGCAGCATGGAGGAAAGCGATAAAAGATCAGAACTGTAGTAGAGTTGACAGCTCTTATCGTCCTCATCGTCTAATTCAACACAAACGTCTATGTTTCCCTATTTTTTCCCTTTTCAGGATTTCCTCACCTCGAACCACTCAATCAGTCGCGTAGTTCGCGGTGCGTTTCTTGGAATCCTCAATCAGCGTGCTTGGTCAGACCTCTATAACTTGAGGCCAAGGGGGGGGGCGAAAGCTAGCGCTCCAGAATGGGAAAGTGGAGGGCAGCGAGGTAGGAAAAAACACGGCGCTCTTTTTGGAGGCAGGGGTGAAGAGTCCTTTATATGTGGCTCTTTGCCCGGATCCTCCTGCGAGAGAAGAGAGAGAAGAGAGACGGAAAGACGAGAGACAGAGAGGAGAGAGAGAGAGAGAGGAGAGAGAGATGAGAGAGATGAGAAAGAGATGAGAGAGATGAGAGAGATGAGAGAGATGAGAGAGATGAGAG